TTGCTGGTAATATTCTGCTGCAGCACGATATCGGCCTTGACCGTCAAAATTACCCAGGGAGGCTTCGGTACCCAAATCACATGAGAATCCGAATCATTGAACGAAGAGAGAGACGTCGGCCACGAATACGCAGAAATCGTCATCGCATTATGAGACAGAACAGCGATGATCCACGAATTCTCGTTGTTTTGGTAATGGTTGATTTGGATCATCATATCTCTTTGCGTGAAATTCAGAGACATACTGGAATTCCAAGAACAACAGCCGATAGAATTTTGCGGCTTCATAGATTTCATCCGTATCACATAACTTTGACTCAAGCTTTGATGCCAGATGATCTCCGTCGCAGACTCGAATTCTGTAATTGGGTACAAGCAAGGATTTATGAAGATCCTGAATTTTTTCGATACGTAATGTTTTTGGACGAAGCTACATTTAATAGTAATGGGCAACTCAATCGCCATAATAGTCATTATTGGTCTATCCAGAATCCTCATTAGGTACGTCATGTTCATAATCATCATAGATGGAGCTTCGTAGTTTGGTGCGGTATAATAAATGGTTATCTGATAGGACCTTATTTTTCGATGGGAATGTCAACGGCGCTGTATCTTAATTTCCTGCAGAATGAATTACCAGAATTATTGGAAGATGTGGACTTGGAAACAAGACGACGATTATGCCTTCAATAGGACGGTGCACCATGTCATTGCTCACTAATAGTTCCTCACTTCTTGAACCAAAGATACTGAAGACGATGGGTAGGCATTGGTAGTAACATTACAGAGAGGTGTCCAAGATCACCAGTTCTAACAAGTCCAGATTTCTTTTTATGGGGCTCTTTGAAAAGTGTTATTTATGCACAGCAACCAACAACACGACAAGATATGATGCAACGCATCATATAAGCTTGTAGAGCTATTCTGCGTCACGTTCTGTTGTCCACAGTTGAAAACTTCGAACGTAGAATTTAACACTGCTTAAATTTGAACGGCGATATTTTCGAACATTTTATGAGATTAATGTTTGTGTTACAACCTTGACCATAACTCTATCTGTAGTCATCGTCTTGTCTTCATTGGCTGGGCATTACCACCTTACCTTAATTAACCAATCAATACCTCGCCTTCATTGGCTAGGCATTCCCACCTTGCTTTAATTGGCTGGGTAATTAATACCTTGTCTTCATTGGCTGGGTAGCCAACGTCTTGTCTGGATCGGCTCAGCATTCTCACCTTGCCTAGATAGATTGGACATCTTTGCATACATTGGTTAGATTAGTTCACGTTACTAAATATGGCACAAACACACGTAATGATTAAATCAAATCGACCTTGATAATCGAACTTTTATTAATCTTGGGTATTGGGTTACTTATTTATTTATTTATTTTTTTTTTACAAGGAGTTGCGAAATCCTTTTTGCGGATTCCCCTTAGTCTTGATATCTAAGAAGGTATGTGGGACTCCCCAAAAGAAAGACAGGTCTACCCACTAAACCGCCATCTCCTTGTTGTCCTTCCCCCAGCCAGGGACTTATGTTGATATTACTTCTGACTGGGGGTTCTGTCTTTGTTCGTTCGTTCGTTTCGTTTCACCGTGCGTCGTTACGTCGCGTCAATCCGTCTGCTCAGTCGTCCTTCAAACAGTCGTCCGCGTTCTTACGTCTTAGTATGGTTTCCGTATAGGTTGCGACTAAACGCCACCATTCGGGTTTATGCAGCATCACCTCTACAATGTTATCGGGGGTGATGTTGCCAACTGTTGTCTCTAGTTCTCGTCTGAGTCTTGTCCAACGGTCGCACCCGAAAAACGTGTGTTCCGCGTCGTCTCGTTCGTGTCCACAATACTTGCAGTCGGGTGTTCGTACTCTGTTCATATTGTGGAGGTACCGTCGGAAGTACCCGTGGCCCGTCAAGAACTGGGTGACGTGAAAATTTACATCACCAAAATTTCTTTTGGTATTGGGTTATTATTACCATTATTATTATTATTATTATTATTATTATTATTATTATTATTATCACTATTGGTATTATTATTATTATTAACATTATCCTTCCCCCGGTGGGATAGGAGGGGGGGGGGGGGGGGGTTGACCGCACCCCATACATAATACCTTACCTGAACGTAGAAATTCCCGCTCTTTCCGAATCCTCGATAAAAAATGGGGATTCTAATTAAAAAAATCACTTGGTTATTTGGTTATTGGGGTTATTGGGGTTGGTTTATTGGGTTATTAGGTTATTTGAGTTTTTGGGTTATTAAAATTAATCTTACCCTTGCCCGATAGCCTGTGCATAGATGAAGAAAATAATATATTCGACCCCTGCATGACCTGACCCGGGAGGGGGGGTTCATCGCACCCCACACATAATACCTTATCTAACCATAGAATTTCTCGCTCCTTCCGAATCTGGTATCAAAATTATAAGTTCCTGTTTAAAAAATGACTTTGACCTTCAAATGACCATAAAAATATATCTCAAGGTCAAATCCGATTTCTGGGAAAGGTGTCCCTCATTGTCCCAAACAACCTTTGTCTGAACAATTTTTTTGTAGAATACCAACTGTAGAAAATTTCGGCGTGGTTTTTTTAAAATGGGTCACCCTGTATACCGTTTAATTTCTCGGTATGACTTGTGACTTCGATCCTTATGGTTGTCAATTAAATTTATGTTGCTTTATTGCTAATTATAACACTATAATTTTTTACATGACTATAATTTCAAATTTAATGACAATAATTGCCGTAAAAGTTTGGGCTATTGGCATTGGATAATATAAATTTTTAATTTCTACACGTTGCGTTGATATGTAAAATTTGCTGTTCTATTGATTTATAATGTTTCATTTATTTAAGTCGTCATAAAGTATTTTTTGTATCAGTTGACAATTTAATAAAAAACCTGATGAGGCTGGAAGGTAAATCAGCGAAACGTTGTCATAATTAATTGTGTCTAATTATTTGTGTTGGAGTTTTAGGTATCACTCTCAAATAACTTTGTAACATAATTTATTAAATCTAAAATATAGACATCATAGAGAGATTCCAAACAAAACTTTACATACTAATATTAGTATCGCACAATTACTAACGCACCATGGTTTGTCACAAATACATATGTGATGTAAGACGTCAATGTAAAGTCTGAGAGAGAATTAAAAATTGAAACAATTTATAACGAGTTTGATGTATCTCTCTCTCTCTCTCTTCTACAGCGACAATATAAAGAATACCATATATTTATAATGTCATCTTTTGAGGTATGTTTCTCCTTAGCAGAAGCAGACGACGACTGCGGAGAACAAGATAAGAGAGAGTGCCGGTAGAGAGAGACCGCGTGCGCGTGTAGGCATAACTATATGCGTGATGAGCCGCGCGCCGCGTGCCGCGTGACGAAGGGCCGGCAATTAGCCGATAGCTTGCGAGCCGTGCAGAGGCGTTCGGACGTGCCTATTCTTTGTTGGTTTATGAAGAGCAACTGTGCGTGTGGCACCTCCTCTCTTCCGTGACAAGCGACTATATAAATAGTCGATTTCAGCAATCTAACCGAATTGTAATCGAGAGGCATCGACTAATGTAAGTACCGATCGTTCCTTGAATCTCTCTCTCTCGCTTTGCCTATCTCACCGCTCTCTCTGAACCGTCCTGTACACTGACACGTACATAAACTATATATATTTATATACTATTACAACTGCATGGCTTTTCTTTTGGACTAGCTTTCATTCCTATAGCTTCCCTCAACTTTCGCGATTTAAGCTGCCTGATCGGCGACGCTCTCCGCGGGCCAGTTGTCAATTCAACCTACCGGACCGGTCTTACGTAGCAGAACGTAATCCCGTAAAGAGCTGCAATTGTGCTAGCCATTACTTTATCTCGGTTAAATTATTATATTGTAGCGGTATAATCCCCGTTACAAATTTATATAAGATATACTAATAGAATAAGAAAACATTCAAACTACTTAGCAAGGAAAATAATGCATTCTACACCAAGAGTTTCAAGACTGAAAAAATACAAAACGACGTTTGTACATAAACATATTATCTACGCACTGGTGCTAATCAATGGTGACATACCTTCATGTAAATTGTAACTAATATATAATCAATTGACTAAATTGTAAATAATAATTACTTATTGTTTACAGACGGATTGTAAATTTTATTGGAAATAAAATAAATTTTGTTGTAATATATACTAAACATTTTATATTATGTCATCGTAATTTGTCTTAAACCCATCTCCATAATTTTAATGAATATATTTTCTTCGTGTAATGTTTACTCATGATCAAAGTAAAAAAGGATATAACGGTCGTGTCGACATCTAACTCAGTGTCGTTATGAACATTAAGGTAATTAATGTACGGTTCGATAAGTTCGAAACGCGTGAAAACTGCCACAACTAACTCAAAATAGTCCGCACTTCCGTTGTCTCTACTGTTTTTGCTATTGCTGCTAGTATTAGTACTATTACCGATGTTGCTATCGCTATTTATTTCATTTCCACGATTACTATTAGAACTTATAAACTTGCGATAGCGTTAGACATTACTGGTAATAGTAAAAAGATTTGTGTTCTTGACTTAAAGTCTAGGAACTAGAGGGTGAGTATTTGTCACCTCGTTGACACTATTGACAGATAACTTTCCGTTTCCAGTGCTTAGGTCAGCTTGCTATATGCAACTACAAGTTTGTATTGCGAATGTTCCGGTTGTCTATAACAAGCAGGATTTCCTCATTCCCATGGTTTATTAAAAGTTCGTTCATTGCGTTCGTCGAGTCATCGCGAGGTATCTCGTAACCGTTAATTTTTACGATGTTATCATCGTCGTCGTTATTGTTATTGTTGGTTTTTTTGTCATCCTCGTTGTCATTACTGTTACTGTTATATTTTTCGTGGTAACTGTTACGCTTATTGTTGTTTTGACTGTTATTAATTTTGTTGATAATAAAAGTATTAGTAGTGGTCATGATAATTTTAGTCAGTACCTCAAATATTAAGTTGATCCTGCTCTCACTGACTGCATTTGGTCGTGATTTTCCAGATGATAATACTACCAATGTCGGCGAGTTGTTTTGATCATTCAGTGGAGACTTATGAGCTTGAGGATTACGACGTTCACAACTAAACTCATTACCACCAAGTATATCTTCGGTGGCGGTAATAAAATTACGACTACTGTTGTTTGGGCTGGTAGAAAAACTTCTAGAAGTTGTATTGGTGAGCAAACCATTACGCTGAATGTTAGGAACGTAGTTGTGAGGTAAATACTTGCTCAAATCAAAACTACTACTACTACAATAGCTACTGCTGGCCTTGCTATTATTGAAGTTAGAGCTAAATGTCGAATTGACTGAATTGGACTTATAGTGATTCGCTGAGTCAACGTAACTAGACGCCAGTAATCTGTAAAATAATGTAATAGTTCGTTTCAAATTTACTTGTTGTTCAGATGCTAAATTAAATTTTGAAATATATAACGTATATATAAAAATGGTAAAAAATCAAATTAGATGTCTGTCGTACAAATTGATACTTTCAGTCAACGTACATTTACTGAATACGATAACTAAATCATTAATTAACTTTATTTAACGGTATCTTAATTAACAATAATACATTTACTAAAATAGAATAACAAAATAGTTAACTGAATGATTTATTTTAATTACATTAATCAATAATACGGATAATATTAAGAGAAAAACCTCTAGTATTTTTAACTACCTATTTTATTCGGATATAAATAATCACTGTTGATAAAAAATACTAGAGAATTTTTCGTCTTTTTTTACCGTAGAACCGATAATTGTAACTAGTTTTTTAAGAAAATCAAATTTTTGACACTTTCTTTAAATAGCATTCTGCAAACAATTAGAAATGATAGAAGGCCAAACAGATATTTTCTTCTTATGTACTCGTACTATGAATGGCAAAGATAGTTTTATAATTTGATGTTTATTACTATCTCTTTCAGCTTCGGTATAGGCTTTTAATAGGTGAATTATTGAACTAGGTTAACTCTGCCATAAAACTCGTAGTCTAGTTTAAGATTGCTTAATGTGTTTCGATATATCTTAATTTTAATACCGCATAAAAAATGGGGACGAGGGTGCCGTGAGATGCAATTATTTTAATTATAAATACACGATTGAATTCTATAAAATCCTTTTACAGAAAAGAGATAGGTGATAAATTTTGTAATAATGGAAAGAAGGGAAATAGTGAGAGATGGAAATTCACTTAATTTTAATTATATTTAACAACGTTTCGTCAGCACATTTGCTGACCTCTTCAGGCTTTATTAACAGAAAAATAACAAATTATTAACAATAAAATTGCAAATTTAATTTTAAAGGCATATAATTATATGTATATGTGTGTACCTGATTTCTCTCGTAGTCAAATTATTATAGGCTAAAACGAATAGCTCGTAGCCAGTCACGTTACAATACAGTAAGAAATTAAGTATTTCAACACACATATATATATATATATTCTTTATCTATCATCCCTTCCTTATCGATCTTAATAAAGTCTTATAAATATGACTAAGATATTGTATATCCTCTTTTCTATTCAAAGTATTTTTATGTAAGCCGATGTGCAACATTTCGGATATTCTGCGTTTCTTATAATTCTTTTCATAATCCAATATCTTAGCTTTATCCGAGTCAAATTCGTGTGAGAGAGTTCTTCTATGTGTAGCTACTACTGTATCTGAGTCAATATTTTTTTTGTGTTAATTTAATCTAATTTTTAAGGATCGCTTACTTTCACCTATGTAGATAGCTGAACATTGTTTGCAGTTAAAACTGTAGACAATACCAGTGTTGTCTAATAAATCAGATTTGTCTTTTCCTAAACGTATGAACTCTTGTAATGGTTTTTGTAATAAAGAGATTGGAGTAATATCATGTTTTTTTAACACAGAAGAACATTTTTTAAAGATTTTGCAATTATTTGGAATAGCGCCTATAGGTAGTTTTTGATTTATTAATTTTTTAAAAAAGAGATAGGGCTTAAAGTGAACCCAGTATTATAGATCTGATTGGTTGAACTATGGTCATGTTGGTTACATTACTATCAGTAACAGCACGCATGAGTATTTGTATGTAATCAAATTGGTAGCAAAAGAAGCAAATTACTGCAACGGTAGTCAATTCGATCAATCGATACGTTCGCGATTCGGTAGCATTCGCGATGTTAAAGTAAACGTCTGAGAGAGAGAGAGGGGGGCGCGTGAGAGTTCAAAGTTTCAGTTAAGCCTCAGCTGTTGTGCATTAGAGTACCGTCAAATAATTTTTCTATTATGCTCATGCCGTTTTGCTAATCAAAAGTTGTTTTCTGGGATTTTTGATACGTGTGCAAGTGATCGTAAGAGACAATCATAGCAGCAGCAAACGAGCAGCAGCATTAAGTGCCGCAACAGCAGATTGGTAGCGAAATGAACTGGCGCAGCCTTTCCAGGGATGAATTCGTTGGCCTACAATAAATTTCTTCAACAATTACGGCTGATCACCGTAATTGCACTGCAGGGTCGATGCACCTCCCTTTTTCTGCCCGACAAAATACGAACGAAAGTATTTTGTCTATCGCAACTGTTTTTGTATTCAAGCCGAGCGTTAGTTTCGCGGTTGAATTTTGAATTCTCTCTCTCTCTCTCTCTCTCTCTCTCTCTCCCCGTATTATTGAAAATTGTAAATCCTATTCGTATGTGTAAGTCTTTTGGGCCATCGAAGACTGTAGTTTTCTAGTCATAAACGACCTTCATTTGATGATACAAGCAGAGAGCGCGACCCAAGCGTGTAGTCCAGAAAATATTAGCAAAGCGAAGCAAGCAAACAGCAGGCTCCGACCTTAGGTAAGATATTTTTATCTTATTGTTAGATAGTTTGCGAAGACTGCACGCGATCATAATCTCGCGAGTTTGCGCTTTAAAAAGAAGGTATTAAGGGTAGTTACAGTAATTAGTGTATACCTCGCTCATACCTTGGGTAATAAGAAGCGGTAGTGGTCGAATAGGCCGATAATTTTAAACCTCGACCGTATCCTACACCCGTGCGGCGGCAAGATGGCTCTGTTGTCAGCCTAACTGTATTCACTCAACGGTCTAATCTTCAAATAAAGCCTACAATTTAAGTTCAAAATATGACGGATAGATAGATGAAAAGTTACAATTACATTAATTGCCGAAAGTAAAAATTAAAAAATTTGTTTGTGAAAAACAAACTAAATGAACCGTAATTGATTTCCAATATTTTTATCAACAAAATATATCTTTTAATATAGGTTGTAACGGGTGGGTCTGCCGCTTAAAAATTTACCGTTGACTACCGCTGCTTGCCCTCTCAGTGCGGAGGTCTATTTAAAGTTGCGTGCCGATGAAAACAACAGGTTATGAATTGTTCTTATGATTTTCTGTTACAAATCTATAATCGGTTTTTGAATATGTAAAATTGAAATAAAGGTTGCAATATCATAATCTTGATTCAATAAGAAGAATAAACGTTTGATAACAATTTAACCTGTTGCGAAAAACTGCAAAATTATTTATTACAGCTTCAATATAATAAATCATGAATTTGAAAGGTGTTTCATTACTAATACATATTTTTTTGCTGTGATATGAGTTATGTAAAAAATTAAAAATCTACCTTTCGAAAAAGTAGTTTATGTTAAATATTTCAATTAATATAATAATAAAAAATAAAAAAGAAGATAAGACGCTAATAGCGCATCTGATCCTATATATTTTTACTTTCCTATGTAAAAAAGTAAAGACTTGCCGAGTCAAGTCATTTTATTCCTTAATTGATTGATCGAAATGTATAAGTCATATAGGAAACAGTTATGAATAAATCGGTACTAAATAATAGATTGAGGCATTTTCCACCTTTTAATATTATTATCAGAATCGGGAGCTTTGCTATTAATATTATTAATAATTTGTAATACTTCTTTTATTTTAATCGATTTTATTGGTGTACTGTTTTGGATATTAGAGCCTTCTAGTAAAATTTTTCCTTCTTCTTCTACACTAACACTAAGCCATAACACGAAACTCAATATTTACTGTGCTTTCGAAACTCGACAAGCAGTGCCCGATTGGGCGTCGGCTTGATGTGATTCCGTCAAATATTCTGATTTGAGGATTACTCAATAAATGATATGTGAATTCCTACCGTTATAATCACCTCCTACTATAAAGCGATTTCCAAGTGTGTTGAAAAAGTCAGTCCAGTTTTCTTTTGTAATTGTTTTATTTGGAAAATAGTAAACAGCTGATATTGTTATTGTGATTGGTCTGTCTTTATTCTTTATTGGTTGCTTGTAAATAGATTTCATTAGTGTAAGTGTGGATGTAGTGGTTTATTTTTATTTTGATTATAATCGCAGTACCTTCGTGAGCTTTATTAAATGGGTGATTTGTTTTATGTACAGTGTAGTATACATTAAGTGAGTTTTTTCTTGTAAATTATGTTTCTGATATCAACATGATGTCTATATTTTCATAGATTAAAAATGCTTTTAATTCAATGTGTCTCTGCACAAGACCGTTTGCTTTCTAGATAGCGAGTTTTAGACTACTCATTATGTTATTTTGTTTACTAGCACAGTTAAAAGATATAACATAGTATCAATTTTTTGCATCAGCTGCTCCATGATATATTCGAGTTTATTATTTGTGTTTACTTCGTTAGTATGTCTACTTAGCTCTGCTTAAATAACTGTTTGTTTTGATATTTCTATCTCACTATCATCGATTTATTTTGATGTTATCTGTGCATATGTTATATTTAGTCTAACGCTATTGATGTTGGCATTTAAATTTGAATTTGAATTTTGATGAACTTGAATGCTGTTTTGATTTAACAGTTTCTGTCTTAGTGTAGGAAATAGTTTTTGCTGTAATTGCTTACGAACTGGCTATACTTTATAGTTTGCAATTTGCATATTCTAAGTCTTTTATTTTTTGTTTAATTGGACATTCTATAGTTTGGTATTGTTTCATATTTCACACACACACATTATTTTTGTACCAAGTTTATTTTATTCCCGTATTCTTGGCAGTTTTGACATTGAGGAGTAGCTCTTTTAACGTTCGGTAGCTCTTAATGGGCGAATACTTCTTAAAATAACTTTGAAACCTTCTTCTTCTTTGCGCTGGTAAATGTAAAATTGCGTGTTTTTTTCTTTCTGTGCAGTAATAATTGGCAAATATTTTTCGGAAGTTGTTGGCTGAATTTTAATTTTGTTTAATATTATTACTTTTAAGATGTAATTTTCTTTGGCTATTATGTTCAGTAGTTTTTCTAACGATTTGATATTCTCTACATTGTAAACGAATATCAGAGGAGAGTTGCTTTTCAACTTATTTACTTCGTTGTTTTCTTCTGTACTAT